ATGTCTCCACGTTTGCAGCTGCTCCTGCAGGTAGCTTCTCAGATGGACGTGGTGTCCTGGGAGCTGTGTAAGGGTCAGGGAGGCCTCAGGCCCTGGAGGGAGGGCCCCCCCTGGCCAAGGGGCAGGGAAGGAGCTGGCAACACAGAAAGGCTCTGTGGCAGTGAGGGGTGGGGAAGAGGTGGGGATCCCCCTTGTTCTGCCCAGACAGGTGAAGGATTAGCAGCACTCCCCTCTGAGCCTGTGGCTGGTGAACGCTCAGAACACCCTCCCACCCCAGGCCCTGTGCGGAGAACGCGTCAGGGTCCCCTCCTGGCTCCTGCAGCTCATGGAGACCTCTGCCGATGCCGTGTCGTTGGGTTTTCAGCACTCTGTTCTCACATCTGGATGCTCCCTTTGCCATGGTCCGCGGCATTCTCAGGGCCACAGTCAGGCCGGCAGGAAGAGTGGGGGTCTGCTCTGTCATTTAGGGAGTGGACTAGAGAGGGAGTTGAGGGCCTCGAGAAAGCCATCATGGAGAAACTGCAGCAGAGCAGGGCACAGCACTCTGCAGACAGGGGACAGTGTGGCCCTCCGCGCTCTCAGCCTCTGTCAAAGCTGCCAACCAGAGCTGGCCCCAGGAGACACAGGCCTGAGTCTGAGAACATACCCTGGGCCACCAAGGCCTGCAGGTCCCCTCCCTTTCTGGAGGCTTCTCCCCCTGGGATGGGCCCAGACCCCACCCTCCAAGCATCGTGAAGCCCTGGGGCCAGCCTCGCTGCCTGCAGAATGCCTGGGTAGACATGTGGTGCGCCTTCAGGGCCGTAAAGAACACTTTAGTTTCCACACCTCTTTATCTTGTGAAGAGTAAGGTGAATGTTGGGGTCCCCAAGCATGGTGTCAGGATCCTGGCAGGCCTTGTGGAAAGGCCCAGCACATGGCTGTCCAGTGGAGGACACCCCCCTTTTACCCCTGGGGGGCCATGCATGGTGCTGCCAGCACCCTCGGGTCAGAGCAGGGTGAGGAGCCGGGGCAAGGACAGCACCATCTGAGCCCTGTTCCTGTCACCTCCTGTGCTTGCAGGGAGAAGTGGTGCCACATGACCCAGGAGGAGCGTGACGACAGCCTCCGGTTCAACGAGAACATCACCTTTGGGCAGCTGGGGTAAGGGCTGGAAGTGGGAAAGGGGAAGGGGAGCCAGGGGGAGGGCCCGCCCTGTGAGCTGTCCCTCCCAATGTCACACCCTGGGGTGCGCTGGGAGCCTGCTGTGAGGTGTTCGGTGCATCACACTTGGCCTCCAAGCCAGCTCATAATTAATCCGCCTCCTACACGCCCCCTGGTGGCGGCAGTGCTGCACTGAGTCGCTGGTGCCTAATTAGACAGCAGTGCTTTTCAATTTTTGCCGACGATTCCAGGCAGGGTGTGGTGAGGGTCCCAGAGACAAGGGCACAGCTCCCCAGCCCTTTTCCTGGGAGGCCGGTGGGTGATGCTCTGGGGGTTTCTCCTGCAGCACATTCACGCACAACATGCTGGCCTTCGGCCTGAACAAGAAGCTGTGCAATGACTTCCTGAAGAAGCAGGCTGTGATTGGCAACCTGGACGAAGGTGCGTCTGCGTAGGCCGCTGGCGGGAGGCGGGCAGGGCCGGGGTCCTGGGACAGGGCCGGGGTGCGGAGGCTGGGCCGGGGTGCGGAGGCAGGGCCCGGGTGTGGAGGCTGGGCCGCGGTCCGGAGGCTGGGCCGGGGTGCGGAGGCTGGGCCGGGGTCCGGAGGCTGGGCCGGGGTGCGGAGGCTGGGCCGGGGTCCGGAGGCTGGGCCGTGGTCCGGAGGCTGGGCCGGGGTGCGGAGGCAGGGCCGGGGTCCGGAGGCAGGGCCCGGGTGCGGAGGCTGGGCCGGGGTGCGGAGGCAGGGCTGGGGTGTGGAGGCTGGGCTGGGGTGTGGAGGCTGGGCTGGGGTCTGGAGCCAGGGCTGCGCCCACTGGTGCTTCTGCACTGCCAGGAGGTATGTCGTGTGGCCATCAGGAATGTGGTGCTGAGCTCTCTGGGCCGTCGGCCCTCCTATCTCCCCAGTCTGTGCAGGTAGATGCATAGGACACCTCTCATTCCATTTGGAATCCATTTCTGCTAGATGGGATTGCTGGGGTTGGGGCTGCAGCCTTGGTGTTCACAGTCAGGGCAAAGAAAGAGGGGACACAGCGCCTGGGCCCAGAGCTTGCACGGAGCCAAACTCCAGCCCCGAGTTGCTCCCTGCTGAATGGCGGCCGCGTGGCTTCCTTTTCTTTCTCGGACCTCACTGCCATGGCAAGTATCGAGGAGCAGGGGAGGTGGGGAGGGAGTTTTGAGGTTTCTCTGGAATCTCTGGCCTCCATGACAGCAGGGAGCTGCTGCGGCGCTGGTGCCCTCCTGTGCGGGGCCGGTCCCCTCCTGTGCGGGGCCGGTCCCTGTGTGCCGCCTCATCTGCCGCAAACACTGCTTCCTCTTCGTGGGAAAGGCCTCACGCTCAGGCGTGGATACAGATTGACACGTATTCCTTAGGGAATCCCCTTCTCCATGTAATTCAAGGGATCTGTGGTGGAGTGGCCACAGGAGGCGTGACAGTGCCAGTGGCTACTGGACCATCTGAAAATGTTGCCAGCAGCCCCACCTCACTAGCAAAGGGCAAGGAGGATGCTGTCACTCCCCTGGTCCCCAGGCTGGCCAGACTGATCATGCTGTGCCTTTCACAGGCTGCAGGGGCTGCACCCCACGACACCATTTTCCTAAAAATGTACATTCCCAGTTCTGAGGGCCCCTTCCAGGCACCTGCTGTACCCCGCAGGTGGCGTGCAGGTCAGGAGGCTGTGCGTGCACCGTGCCCTCATGGCACAGCCCTGCCCTGAAGCACACAAGCAGTGTGGCCTGTGGATGGCAGTGTGGTTTGGAAGTCGCAGCCCTGCTCCCAGGGAGGCCCTGATTCGTCCCTGCCCGAGTGACAAGAGCAGAACATACCTGTCCCTGTCACCATCCTTCATCTGAGAAATCACATCATTTTCTCTTCCAGAGCAATACAAGCTGCTTAGTGACCACATTGAGCAAATGGCCACTGAGTAGGCCCCAGAGGTTGCACTCTGCAGAGGACTGAGCCCACGTGCTGTTCTACCGGGCCCGGTGCCCGGCTGCCACCCCACCCGATGACCTGCATGAAGCCAGCAGCACCCAGAGTCGCTCCCGCTGCCCTAGAACTAGCAGTTAGAAGAATCCGCTGCTCCTCCCTCCTCTCCTCTGCCTGTGTCTGTGCCCCCCATCCATGTGCCAAAGTGTCTCTTGGGTCCCACGGCTAAAGCTGAGGTGATCAGCCGTACTCCGAGTGCCAGGCTTGTGAGAAGAGACCAAGAGGGAGGAGGGGAAGGACGCCATGGGCCATTGAAGGCCAAGGGCTGGCGAGGGTGGGGCAGGCGAGAGACACAGGCAGGATAGCCTTGAGGAGGGGCTGCAGCCCTCCAGTGGCAGAGGACTGGAGCTGCCGCTCACAGCGGATGGCCCTGGGCCGTGTTCCTGCAACAGGGTCGGCCCTCTCCGACCTTGAGGAGGAAACACCTGTTTTAGGGAGAGGGCAGGTGTGGTGTAGAGGATGCTCTTGGCTGGCTAGAGCAAGACGTGGCACCACCAGAGGGACGTGTGTGTGCCTGCAGATGGCCTGGGATCTGTGTCTGTCAGAGTCACAGCAGTGCCGAGGTGTCTGCAGCAGACCACGCAAACCATCTGAAATGCGCCCGCCTGGCCGACAGCTCCCTTCTGAAGCAGAGAAGCCTCTTCGGTCATGAAGCAGCGTTGTGCCGTGTGTCCCACACAAGAAGTACAGGAAAGAAGTTTCTTTAGTAGCTGCTAGACAATGCCCCTTTCTAAAGGCAAACAGTGCTGCTCTTTATTCCAGACAAGGCAGGAAAGTCTGAGTTGGGAGTGACAGCTGCTGGAGAGAGGCAGTTCTGGGCAACGCGCAGGGCAAGCCAGTGGCACCAACTCCACCTCCAAGCGCTGAGCGTTGTGTCCCTGCCCCCAGGGGCTCCAGAAGGCGCTTTTCCTTCCCCACCAGACCTTTGGAGTTCCTTCCTCCAGCCTCTGCAGATACGCCCTTCACCTACTGCCTGGGAACCACGGCCCTTCTCTTCTGTGGGTCTGTACCACACACACTTCAGGCCAGCCCGTGGCCCGGGGCCTGACTCCCAGCAACCGCAGGGTGGCTCCGGAGCCTCCTGTTTCACCACGCGTGGACGCTGCCAGCCCGCCTGGGGTTCCCTGCCTCTTTCCCGTCACCACTGCGGTCACTGACTGTGAAATAGGCCCATGGGGCTCTCCCTCCACCTGCCATCCTCCCCTCCCGTCCTTCCTGGCTACCTCCTCTGACATTGGGTCACATAAGTCCCGTCTTGTCTGTCAGCACCACAGAAGCACCTGAGAGTCACCTGGCCACTGCTTGGAAAGTTTTCCTCTGGGGAATGCTCCCCAGAATGTTCCAGAGATGAGCACAGACTGGTTGCATCACAGAACGTGTGTCTGGGGCATTACCTGAAACATGGTGTCATCTGATGCATTTGGGCCCCATGCTGCCAGCCTCCAGAACCGGGGAGCTGAGGCTCAGGCCCCTGACTGCATGGCGTGTGAGGGACTTGAGCCTAGTGATGCTGCTGGCCGGAGCGTGGCCATGCTGCTGGGCAGGGGCAGGGGTGGGGGCTTGTGCAGGCTGGGCTTCCCCTCCCCCATGGTTGGGCCCTGATGGCCGCATCTCCACCAAATCCATTAAGAGAAACATCAGAGAGAAGGGTGTGTGGACGCCCGTTGCTCTGATGCCAGTTGCAGATAATACGCGCCTCCCGCAGTGTCCAGCCGTGGTTCCAGGGCACTGCGCCCTCCTCCCTGCCCCGGTGAAACTCAGGGCTGACTATCGGGAGCTCCCTTCAGCCGTCTCGTCGTCAGCGTTCTTGGTCTTGTATGATTCACGTTAGCTGAAATGCATTAAGACTTGGCTCTGCATCGCTCACAAGACTTAGCCCTGTGTGGATAGGACTTTTGTATGGAAGTTTTGATTTGTTTGGTTTCTGGGTAAACTTTGATTCTGAGACTCTCCTGGGGGTGCCGGAGCGTGTGCACAGCCTCTACAAGGACTCTGCGCTGACTTCTTCGGGCTTTTTTCCAAGCACTTTAACTTCGAAAATGATCTCGACACTTTTTTGTCTACATAGACCTCTTGAAATAGCCATTTCGGGGCGAGGAAAGGGTTTTGTTTTGTCTGTCCCCCTCACTACCTGTTCTTACAGATCTAGCTCCTCAGAGTTGGAGGAAGCCTGACAGGGAAGGGTCCCCTCTACTCCCTCCACACAGGATGCCACCCAAGAGACAGCCTCCCATGCTGTGAGCAGAGCAAGCAGTGGCTCGGGAGGCAGCCTCCAGCCTCCTGCCGGCTGTGGCTCTGGCCAGGGTCTCCTGGAGGAGGCCCAGTGTGCCTGGGACAGGGCTGACCACCTGCCATCAAGGTTTCCTCTCTTCCCCCAGGGCCTGAGCGGAGCAGGCATGAGCTGGGCTCTGGTGTGGAGCAGGCAGACCCAGCCACGTGGCTCAAAGGTCCCTGCGTGGAGAGGTGGGACACCCAGGGCCACCTGGGTGTAGGAGCTCTGATGGCCCCTCTGTAAACTCAGGAAGTGTCAGGTGATTCCTAGGGAGAGGTTCCCAGTCCCAGTGGGCACAGGGGCATTGCAGGCACTCTGCCCCCCAACCTCGAGGGCTATGCGAATCCTAGTGAACCAAAATGCGACCCACTCGCTCAAGTGCAAAGCTCCCTGCTTTGAAAACAGGACATGTTGAGATGCAGCGCTGTATGTTTTTAGCCTTTGTTACAATTTTAGCAACATTAATAGATGTTTAAGAGGGACTGTGCTCATAGATTGCATCTGCTGTGTGCGTGTATGGTGCACACGCGCGTTTAACCAAAGGCCAGAGAACTGAATTCTGATGTCATCAGTTATCTGTAAGTGAACTGGGGTAGATGCTATGATTTTCCTATTGCCAAAAGAAACGTGGGCCAAAGAGCTCTGAAATTTCCAAAAACGGGCTAGAGGGAGAGTCTGGTTTCTGAGCCTGTACCCAAATCAGAACCTAATGTCCAGGTTCATGCAAGGAACACATGGGGTTTAGAACCAGCACTGAGGCCCAGCGCGGGAATCACAGACACCGCTGACCCTCCTCCTCTTTCCTCCTCTGAGTTAAAACCAAACGGGCCTCTCACTCCTCCAAGCCCGGTAACGCCATGGACTTCTGTTATGAGGAAAGAAGGCTGGAGCTGGGAGATTCGTTTTTCCTGGGCTGCTCTGCATGGGTTACCTTATCACTCGCGAGCACCTGGGAGATTCGTTTTTTTCCTGGGCTGTTCTGCATGGGTTACCTTATCACTCAGGAGCACCTGGTATTCCAGACCCCTGACGTGAGGAATGCAGGTTCACACCATAAAGAGTTTGTGAGAGGTTTCAGTCTAACTGGGGCTCCTTAGCCGGAACCAGGGCTGTAAGCTACAGGCCTGACCTTCCTAGCTCCCACTATGTGTTGGCTTTTTTTTTTCTTTCTGAGATGGAGTTTCACTCCAGTGATACAATCTTGGCTCCTCTGCCTCCCAGTTCAAGCAGTCCTGCCACAGCCTCCTGAGTAGCTGGGATTACAGGCATGCGCCACCACACCTGGCTAATTTTGTATTTTTAGTAGAGACGGAGTTTCTCCATGCTGGTCAGGTTGGTCTCATACTCCCAACCTCAGGTGGTCTGCCCACCTTGGCCTCCTGAAGTGCTGGGATTGCAGGTGCAAGCCACCTTTAGGAAGGATCCAGGTAGGCCTGGGTGATTAGATCAGCTTGGTTACTGAATTACCCAAAACCAGACCACAGCACAGCCAGGAAGCCCAGTAGTGTTTCTAAGAACAGGGTGGAGCTTGAGAAAGAGGACTAAAAATTAGAGGGTCCCTTGTCACAGAGGAAGGGATGCTCACGGGGTGGCACTGGCCCAGCCCCAGCCTCAGAGAGAGGAGAGGGAGAGCCCCTCCGGTCCTGGTGGGCAGGTGTTCTGAGGCTGGTCTCTTCCCCAGTTTCCGCAGCCCCGAGGCAAAGCCGCCAGGTTCTCTCTCAAGGATCATTCTCACTCTTTTCCCTGTGCTGTTTCCAGTCCCGGTGAGCCATTCACTTCTGCTGAACCATTTTTCTTAGGACGAGTCCGTTTCATTCCCTTGTCCTATAAATCGCGTATTCACGTCGATGATTCTTGGAGATAGGTTTTGCTTCAGAAGTTCCCAGCTGTGTCCCGCAGGAAAGGGGAGTCGGATGCCAGCTGCACCCCGCTTGGCCTGCACAGGGTAAGACTGGACAGAGCAGGGCTTCCTGGAGCCACACAGCCTGCACACCCCAGGACCCCCCGCAGGCCAGGAACAGGAATATGTTGGTGCCTAAAACCCCCAATGGAAGACCCACATCCAGACTGTTGTCTTGCGGCCAACACTGGCCGCCAAAGCCACCCTCCACACAGACTCTCAGGGGGCCTGCCTTCTGCACCTCAGTCCCCCACGCATCCCTGGGCCTGGGTGTCACATACTCTCCAGGAAGGGGACGGAATCAATCGTGTGACCAACAGGTTCACAAGAGTGGGTGCTGCCGGGGGAGCCCCGCCTCCTGGTGCGGGTAAGGGATTGGGTTTAGCCTGCAGAGTGCAATGAGTGAGCCCGTGGGAGCGCAGCCCTGCCTTAGCTGCACCTGGGGACGCATGTGGCCAAAGGATTTCAGTGGGACAGCGCTCCACAGGGGCTGAGGGTGGGCATAGGGCTTCTTAGTTACTGCTGGAAAGGGAAAAACTCAGCACGTCCACTGGGAGCAAAGATGGGCTGGTTTTGTTCATCCCAAGTTCCCTTCTACACGCCTCCCCCAGGACAATGTGCAATTTGGGAAGAACCTAGCTCCCCACTTTGCAGACTCTGGGGCCTGACAAAACAGTCAGAGCCTGAGCCCACTGTAGCTTAGAGCTCCCTTGAGCTGCGCTTTAAGGGACTTTGCACGTTAACTGGAAGGAGGATGCCTGTCGGTGAATCCCCTGTGCATTGACTAGAACTGGGGGGCTGTACCCGCTCCCTCCTTGATCCTAGTTTCTCCATGAAATAGAGGTGGGTGCGGAAGGCATGCCCACAGGGAGGTGCAGCCCTAAGTGGGGGACTCCAGATCTCCCAGTGAGAGACAGAGACAGCTCCACATGGGTTCGGCTGTGGGGAGGAGCTCACGTGGTCTCCGGCGAGCCTGGGGCTGTCGCTTAGGGTCTTCTGGGTGCACACTTGGAGAAAGATAAGGCAAGCATTTGAACACCAGGAAATGCTAGAAACTCAAACAACACACATGGATCCCTTAAAACATGTAAATGCATCACAACGTGGTTGACCTGCCGCCCTCCTGGACCTGGCAGCCCCTGTCGGGACTATCAGTGGCATCTCCCACGGGCACACCCTCTGCTTTCTCTTTCCTAGACTCGGCGTGGTCATGTCCAGACATTGCCTTGACGGCAGCCCCCAAGTGGAATGCAGTGACACCAGTATCTTATCTGTTCCATTTCTGCAATTTTTTGTCCCACTCGGTGATGTTCTACAAACTATTTTAAGGCTGAGAAAGTGTCAAGGGTGAAGATCTCAAAACAGCGCTAAAATCAAAGGTGTTTGCTGTGAAGAAAAAAATATGTATATATATCGCACCTTAAGTGATCAGAAGGTGGAAACTGAAATAAACTATCTTTAAAAAAAAAAACCTCTGTTTAATTATTAACACATCCATGCGGACTTTTTACAGAAATTGTAATCTTCTCAGTAACATCTGTAGCCTTTCAGAAGAAAACCATCTTTTCTTTTTCTTTTTTTTGAGATGGAGTTTCGCTCTTGTTGCCCAGCCTGGAGTGCAATGGTGCGATCTTGGCTCACTGCAACCTCCATCTCCAGGGTTCAAGCAGTTCTCCTGCCTCAGCCTTCTGAGTAGCTGGGATTACAGGCATGCACCACCATGCCTGGCTAATTTTGCATTTTTAGTAGAGACAGGGTTTCATCACGTTAGCCAGGCTGGTCTCAAACACCCGACCTCAGGTGATCTGCCTGCCTCGGCCTCCCAAAGGGCTGGGATTACAGGCATGAACCACTGCACCCAGCGAAAACCTTTTTTTTTTTTCTAAGACCAAATAGACATTTTTCCTATGTAGGCTGAGCAGCCAGGTCTTGTCAGATGGGCGAGTATGTGGGAGATACTAGAAGAAGGAGCCTTCCTCTGTAGATTCAGCAGCCACGTTGGCCATGTCAGTCTGCCTGGCCACTGGGGGGTCTGTATTCGTGAATGAGGGACCCCCCTCTCTGGACCGGGTCTCAGTCCAGGCTACACGAGCGCCTTGAACCGCTTCATCTGGGCTCCTGACCCTGCTCCTCGGAGCCAACGCCACCTTACCTCTTACATTGGGGCATTTGGGGGCCATCAGTGGTCCTGACCACAGCCTCCTACCCCACACAAGCAGGGCACCTGCATCAGTTATTTCCAACTCCATTCCACAAAAGTATTTCAAAAATTGGGACTGGGAGGAGGTTCCTTTTCTCTGATTGTAAGAAGTCCATACCCATGTTCTGATACTCTGGTCTAAACAGATGGGCAATGAGCCCTGAGAAGGAGCAGGACACAGGGACACCCCCAAGACCCCAGGTGTGGGGTGCAGGGTCCCCTTCATTCCCTGGGAAGGAGCAGGGCAAAGGGGCATCCGCCAGATCCTAGGAGATGTGATGCAAGGTCCCCCTCCCACCCTGGGAAGGAGCAGGACACGGGCATACCCCAGACCTCAGGGGTGGGATGCAGGGTCCCCCTCCCCTAGCTGCCTGCGTGGACTGAGGACACTCCCTGCCACCCAGGCAGAGGAAGAATGGGGTGGCCTCCACGTCCCCAGATCTCCCTCTGCCCCCTCTTAGCCACACAGGGAGGGCGGGCATGGCTGGTGGGTGCACAGCCCTGGGGTGTCGCATCTGGGCTTTTTCTCTGGTGCTGGGGGATTCCTCCCGCAGGAGGTGAGGGGCTAGACTCAGAGGCAAACTCCAGGGAGGGGAGAAACTCCTCTGAAAGGCAGCAAAGACCCCAAAGAGCTTGGGCAACTCAAGACAGGAAGGGCCCGGATCCAGCTCCGCCTCCCGCCAGCTGACTGTATGCCCTTAGCTGAATCATTCTTTGAGCCTCAGCTTCTTCACATGTGGACCGTGATGAGAGTCGCTTGAACCTGGGAGGCAGAGGTTACAGTGAGCCCAGATGGCACCACTTCATTCCAGCCTGGGTGACAGAGCAAGACTCTGTCTCAAAAAAAGTCACTGTGATGAAGACACCAACCCTACCTGTATCTTGTAAGGAAAATGTGTGTCCCCCACTTTGCTGATGAGAATAACCAGGGCACTCTACATGAGGATGTGACACCAGGCCAGCAAGAGAGGCCACCAGTGGACCATACCCAGCTGTGGTCTTCAGAAGGCAGGAGGCTAGCCAGGGACGAGCCCTGGACAGCAGGGACGCCCTTGAGAGGACTCCGCAGCTGGAACAGGCCCCCAGGGGTGGAAGGTTTGTGATCCCACCTAGATAGTTGGTAGAAAGAAGATTCCGTGCTATTTCATCTCCTCATGGAAGATCTGGCCTCATCTGGAAATTTGGCTTCCATCATCTCTACAGAGACAAGGTGCTTTCTGGCTTTGAACTACTGGGACCCCTGGCCGGGGGGTTTGTGGAGGGTGCTGGGATCTGTGCAGCCAGCCTGTATCTGCAGGCTCCAGGTGCACTTTCTAACCTGGGACGTTTGGGCAGTGTGTGGCCTTGAGTAACAGATAGCCACGCTCGACACAGATGTCTCCACGAAGCCTCAGTGTCACCAAGCCATGCCAGGCCTGGAGGACGGGCTCACCCCGGCTGCCCTCAGAGATGGTCGGAGGAGTCACTCCTCGGCTGCACACCAGGGTCCCCAACAGACAGCACCCTCCCAAGTCCACATGCCCCAGCCTTCCCATACCTCCACCCCACTTTGGCCTCTGTGGACTTCCGTGACAATCTCGGTCCCAAGAATATCCCTCCACATCACCTCCCGTGTTATGAGCTGAATTTTGCCCCCAAAGCTCTATGCTAAAGTCCTACCTGCCCCCATACCTCAGAGTGTGACCTTATTTGGAAACGGGGTCATTGCTCATATCATTAGTCAGGATGAGGCCATCCTGGAGGAAGGTGGGCCTCTGATGATGGGCATCCTTACAGGACGGGGAGGTTTGACACAGACTCAAGGGCACACCGGGAGAACGCATGTGAAGATGAAGGCAGAGGCAGGTGGATATGGCTGTAAGACCAGGCGCACCAAGGACAGGAGCCGCCGGAAGCTGGAGAGGGGCCTGGGACAGGTGCTCCCTCTTAGCCCCTAGAAGGAACCAGCCCTGCTGACACCTGGCTCTCAGCTTTCTGGCTTCTGTGGTTTGAGCCGCCCAGGCACTGGCGCTTTGTCAAGGGAGCCCAGGAAAGGAATCCACTGTTGGTGACGTGAACAGGCGCCAGCGTACCTGAGCCCCCGGACACAAGGCAGGATGAGAGACTGGGGTCAGGCTGAGAGTCATGAGCATTTATTCAACACCTACTATGTGCCAGGCACAGCAGTTCCCCAGAGCAGCCTCTGAGGTGAGTGATACTTGTCCTGCAGTACAGATGAGGAAACTGAGGCTCGGAAGACAGGTGGCTTGCCTGAGGACACACAGCAGAGCCCACCTGAGGATCCAAAGCCCACTCAGTTCTTCTAACTGTTGTGGGCGGTTCTCTTCCTATTTATGGGTTTCCCATTTATGGGGTTGCTGCCCCAGTGCCCTGAGGTCCTCCACAGGGGCCTCTTCCATGGAGTTGTCTTCACTCTCCTTCTCTTCTTTTCTTGGTCTCGCTGTGGTGCTCTGGGCACTCTAAATAATAATAATAAAACGACAGTAACATCCATAATAATAATGGCAGCAACAAGTCTGGAGTGTTTGTTCTGCACGTGGTGTAGATCTGTCCGTGGATACTCAGCACAGCCCTGTGCAGAGGCTCCCGTTCTGAGCCGCTCTGCAGGCGAGGACTCTAAGCACAGACAGGCTAGGGGACTTTCCCACGGTCACACCGCCAGAAGCAGATAGCATAAAGAAAAAACAATCAAAACTTCAGGAAACATCCGACACACTTACAGAAATGCACAATACTCTGAGAAGCCGCAGCAATCGAACTGAACAAGTAGAAGGAAATTCACAGCTCGAAGACAAGGTCTTCGAATGAACCCAATCCAACAAAGACAAAGAAAAAAGAACAGGAAAATATGAAAAAAGCCTCCGGGCAGTCTGGGATTAAACGGCTGGGGATTGCACCTCCCCTACCATCTTTTGAGAGAATTGTCCTGAAAGCATGAGATGCCCACCCCGCCACACACGGTGGGCTGGCCGCCCCTCACCCCTCCTCACGGAGACCAAACCTGCTGTGATTGGCATCCGGCTATTCAGGGCCTTTATTTGCCCTTTTCAGCTGCACCTGCAAAGTCCCGCAGAAATAGAAATGCACCTGACGGCAGGCCTTCCTGGGCCGTAAGGAAATGTGCAATATACACACCTAATCGCTTCCCTAACCTCTGAGGAATCCTGGGCCCACAGGCTGGGACGCAGGTGTAGGTAGACCTGTCTGGGAGGCCTCTGTTTCTCAAGTGGCAAAACCTCAGAGTGCCTCAAGGGAGCGCTCAGGACTCGTGACAGCCACGGTGGGGACTGTGGCCCACCATGCTGGGTGACATGGCTTCACTGGGTCTACTTTTTTTTTGAGACCAAGTCACTCTGTTGCCCGGGCCGGAGTGCCATGGTGCAAATCTTAGCTCACTGCAACCTCCGCCTCCCGGGATCAAGTGATTCTCCTGCCTCAGCCTCCCAAGTAGCTGGGATTACAGGCACACACGACCACGCCCAACTAATTTTTGCATTATTTTTAGTCGAGACAGGGTTTTACCATGTTGACCAGGCTGGTCTTGAACTCTTAACCTCAAGTGATCCACCCGCCTCACGTGATCCATCCTAAAGTGCTGGGATTACAGGCATGAGCCACTGCACCCGGCCTCGTTCCATTTCCAGGCAAAGTCCTGGTCAGACCCTGGGGCAGCCCTCCACACTCCCGCCACCCCACACTCCCGCCACCCCACACTCCCTCCACCCCACACTCCCGCCACCCCACACTCCCGCCACCCCACACTCCCGCCACCCCACACTCCCTCCACCCCACACTCCCTCCAGCCTCTCATTTCAAACTTGAATTCTCAGCTGCCCTCCTCTAGTCCCTGGGACTCCTACCACGGGGTCTCCTGGGCTGTGCACTTCATTTTAGGTGTCGCCTCAGCCTCCCACACACTCACCTGGCTGGCGAGAGAACGAGGGGCAGATGGAGAGGTGTTGGTGCTGGCAAGTGGCCAAGTGTCATGACGCCCAGAAACTCCCTGCACCTTGGCTCTAAAATCCTGCCGGGGAGAGACCAGGGTGGGTTGGATCCAGTGGGAAAACATGACTTGGGGCGGGGTAGTGGGATGGAAAGATGGCCGGATGAGAAGGCCTGCGACAGCTGATGCCCTTGCAACACCACAGTCCTCTCCAGGAGCTTCCTGTTTCTTATTCCACATAATCTACAGCGGCCCTGTCAGTGGGTTATCACCCCCTTTTATAAATGGGAGAAGCCCAAGGGCCAGGTCACATATCCATAGTCACACAGGAGAACACCTGGATTCGAGATCACCCTTGCCCCTAAAAAGAATATTGTAGGCCAGGTGCCATGGCTCACACCTGTAATCCCAGCACTTTGGGAGGACGAGGCGGGCAGATCACGAGGTCAGGAGATCGAGACCATCCTGGTCAACATGGTGAAACCCCGTCTCTACTAAAATACAAAAAATTAGCTGGGCGTGGTGGCGCACGCCTGTAGTCCCAGCTACTTGGGAGGCTGAGGCAAGAGAATCGCTTGAACCCCGGAGGTGGAGGTTGCAGTGAGCTGAGATCGTGCCACTGTACTTCAGCCTGGTGACAGAGCAGGACTCCGACTCAAAAAACAAAACAAAAACAAAAAAGAAAGAGAAAATAATATTGTAAAGTGAGTGAATGCGAGAGAGCCCCTCTGACCTGCACCGAACCTTGTGTGGCGGTTTTAAGGCTTATTGGAAACTCAGATGATCTGATGCTCCCCCCATCAGGAGCTAGAATCAAATTCCTCTCCCCTCGAATACAGGCAGCCTCAGATTCACTTCTAACAAACAGCATACAAAGCCACACTGTATTACTGCTGAGGTTGGGTCATAAAAGGCAATCGAGTTTCCACCTGTGTCCCTAGACACTCCCTCTTGGAAGCAGCTGCTGTGAGGAAGCCCAGGCCCCATGAAAAGGCCGCGGGCAGTGCTCTGGCTGCGGACCCAGAGAAAGACCCGGGAGGGCAGGCTGTGTGGGGTGCGGCTCACCCACTTGCCCAGGCCTCCACGCCTGGAAGGCCCCTGTGCGTGGCTTAGCGCTCTGACACTGCTGTCCTGAAGATCTCAGTAATTTTGGAAGGAAGGGCCCCACGTTTTCATTTTGCACTGGGCCCTGCAAATCACATGGCCTGTCCCGTGCTCAGATGACAGCCACCTTCTGCGAGACATAAGCAAGGAAAGCTAAGAAAAGACAGCCTCAGCCTCTGACCAACGGCAACCACAGGAAGGCCGACCTGAGACCTGCCCAGGTGAGCCCCATCAACCGCAGACCCACAGGAGGGAGTCATGATCAGTGACTTAATTTACAATACTAGGCTGCAGAATGGCGTTACCGATAATGCAAACAGCTCATTCTGGATTTTAATCAGATCAGATGGGGATAAAAAGCACTTCTTTTCTACTTAAAAACTACACCAAGCGCCACCCAGGAAATGTTTTTTGTTGCTGTCAATCCATTCGTTTTTTTTGTTTTGTTTTGAGACAGAGTCTCGCTCTGTCACTCAGGCTGGAGTGCAGTGGCACAATCTCGGCTCACGGCAACCTCTGCCTCATGCGGTCAAGCGATTCTCCTGCCTCAGCCTCCCAAGTAGCTGGGATTACAGCTGCTCACCACCACGCCCAGCTAAATTTTGTATTTCACCATGTTGACCAGGCTGGCCTCAAACTCCTGACCTCGTGATCTGCCTGCCTTGACCTCCCAAACTGCTGAGATTATAGGCGTGAGCCACCACGCCCAGCCAATGCATTCATGTTTAAACATCATATGATGAATATGTTGATATTCCAAATAGCGTTAGGAAGAATTATCCTCCGTTTGGCACCTGGGGCAGATATTCACAACGCTTTATCAGAATGAGTCTTAGAAACGTTGTAAAATGTTACCAACAAAAACTGCTTCTATCAAGACAGAAGCAAAATGAAACCTTGCCCCACTCCACCAGGTAGGAAATGGGGTGTCTGTGACCCACCTGCAGGTCCCTCTCCAGGTCATACTTCTCCAGGGTCTGGAAGGCGCTGGAATACACCTCCACCGCTTTGGCATGGAAAACCATCTCAATAGTTACAAAATCAGAAAAAAATGTCTGTGGGGAGAGAAGCCCCAAGAATGTAAGCAGTGCAGTGAGATAGAGAGCCCAAGGCAACCTGGGACGCAGGCAGACGGGTGGGGGTGAGGAGCTGTCCAGGTGCGGACAGGCCCTAGGTGGGGAATTTCCACATGTAATTTTTTTGTTGACACATTGATGGAAAACACATTTGCATGGTTCCCAAATCAAAGCTATTGGCCAGGCGCAGTGGCTCATGCCTAAGTTCTCAGTACTTTGGGAGGCCAAGGCAAGAGGATGGCTTGAGCCCAGGAGTTTAAGACCAGCCGGGGCAACATGGCAAAACCCCATCTCTACTAACGAAGTACCTAGGTAATTAAAAACATACAGACAGGCAGACTGTGCCAAAATGGTCTGAGGACACTGGCTCTTCGCCCTTCATTCTGTTCCCTTCTTTCACTTCCCCCTCCACCTCCTGAGGTAATGCTCAGAGTTTCTTCTGTCTTCTTCCCTCGTTCCCTGAGATAAGCCGATGTTCTTCTCTTCTCCCTTTTCAGTTTCTTCCGAGCTTTTCCCCTCTACTAACAATCAGTCCTGGAGACCTTTTCACAGAAGGCTTTCTTTTTTTTTTTTTTTTTTTTTTGGGGGGGGGAGAGACTCGTTCTGTCGCCCAGGCTGGAGTGTAGTGATGTGATCTCAGCTCACTGCAACTTCTGTCTCCCGGGTTCAAGTGATTCTCCTGCCTCAGCCTCCCAAGTAGCTGGGACTATAGGTGCCTGCCACTATGCCCAGCTAACTTTTGCAGAGATGGGGTTTCACCGTGTTAGCCAGGATGGTCTCATCTCCTGACCTCAGGATCCACCTGCCTCAGCCTCCCAAAGTGCTGGGATTACAGGTGTGAGCCACGACACGCGGCCTTTTTTTAAGATGGAGTCTTGCTCTGTTGCCCAGGCTGGAGTGAAGTGGTGCAATCTCAGCTCACTGCAAACTCTGCCTACTGAGTTTAAGCGATTCTCTTGCTCCAGCCTCCTGAGTAGCTGGAATTATAGGCATCTGGACCACGCCCAGTTAATTTTTATATTTTTAGTAGAGACAGGGTTTTGCCATATTGGCCAGGCTGGTCTTGAACTCCTGTCCTCAGGTGATCCCCCCTCCTCAGCCTCCCAAAGTGCTGGGATTACAGGCATGAGCCACCACGCCCAGCCCAAAGGAGGTTTCTCCCTTCATTTCTGTGTATTTCTTGCTGTAGCTTATTAGACAGTCCCAGCACTTGGGTGTGTGGGCAAATGTATTATTCTCAGTCTTTGTTGTGACAACACAGGAAGGTCCTGTGCAGATGTACCTCACTGGGGTAGCTGCAGGAGACCACCAGGAGTGGACTTGCAGGACCCAAGGTCAAGTGCATTTGTACCTCTTTTATCTGGGGTGGAGACGGGTAGACAGGTTCTCACTCCCTTTGCCCAGGCTGGAATGCAGTGGAGCGATCTCGGTTCACTGTAGCCTCAGCCTCCTGGGGTCAAGCGATCCACCCACCTCATCCTCCCAAGTAGCTGGGACTACAGGTGCATGCCACCATGCCTGGCTTATTTTTTGTATTTTTTGTAGAGACAGGGTCTCACCATGTTGCCCAGGCTGGTCTCGAACTCCTGAGCTCAAGTGATCCACCAGCCTTGGCCTCCCAAAGTGCTGGGATTACGGACATGCGCCACCGTGACCGGCCATGTTTGTACCTCTGATCAGAGCTGCCTACTTGCCCTGCACAGGAATCCACTGGAAATGTGTGGGGGCTTCTCAGCCAGGACTTCTGAGAGCATCCCCCATCCCCTCTGCCCCGGGCTTATCCACACGGCCTGCACCTCACTTCAAAGACAGCTATTTGCAGCTTGAGGGCTACAAGACCTTTAGCCTCTGTCACCCGTCAGGCCCCACAACCCGACGGGGGCTGGCTGGTCCAAGCATGATTAGTGGTGGAGATTTTGGCTTCTCTGGAACAGATGGCTCCTGGCTCGGCTGAGCAAGCACCAGCAGAGTTCCTGCTGCTCACCAGGCCAACAGGGCCCCTGAGGTGCAGAGGTGTGCTGGCTAAGGCTCCTGCGTCACTCTGGGCCCAGAAGGGCACAGTCTTAGTGCTGGGGGAGGGGCCTGAGGTTTGAAGAGGTACAGTTCATGTTCCCTGAGAAATGCCCCAGTGGGGGAGCTCAGAGAGGCCCCCAAAACACCTGAGAGAGAGAAAGGGAGGGGACCCAAGTCTGTGGTGGAAAAACCTTCCTCCCCTTCAGTCCCCGGGAGGCAGCACCAGGTGGAAACAGCTGCCTGATATAATTTGGATCTTTGTCCCCACCCAGTTCTCATGCTGAACTGTAACCCCCAATGTTGGCCGTGGCGCCTGATGGGAGGTGTTTGGACTGTGGGGGCGGATCCATCCTGAAGGGCTTAGCCCATCCCCTTGGTGATGAGTGAATGAGTGCTCCCCAGAGCTGGTCATTTAAAAGTACGTGGCCCCTCCCCACCCCTACTCTCTCACCTGCTCCTACCTCACCTTCTGCCGTGACTAGAAGCCTCCTGAGGCCTCCCCAAAAGGAGGAGCCGCTGTGCTTCCTATACAGCCCACAGAACCATGAGCCAATTAAACCTCCTTTCTTACAAATTACCCAGCCTCAGGTATTTCTTGAGAGCAAGGCAAGAACAGCCTAATACACCACCCGATCAAGAGGCTGGGGTTCAGCCAGGCACAGTGGCACACACCTATAATCCCAGCACTTTGGGAGGCCAAGGTGGGCAGATTGCTTGAGCCCAGGTACTTGAGACCAGCCTGGGCAACATGGCAAAACCCTACCTCTACATAAAAACTGTCTGGGTGTGGTGGTGCACGCCTGTGGTCCCAGCTACTTAGCAGGCTAAAACGGGAGGGTCACCTGAGCTCAGGAGGTCACGGCGGCAGTAACCCGTGATCACACCACTGCACTCCAGCCTGGGCAACAGAGTGAGACCCTGTCTCCAAAAAAAACCAAAAAACATAGGGCGCGGTGGCTCAAGCCTGTAATCCCAGCACTCTGGGAGGCCGAGGTGGGTGGATCACGTCATCAGAAGATCCAGACCATCCTGGCCAACATGGTGAAATCCCATCTCTACTAAAAACACAAAAATTAGCTGGATGTGGTGGTACATGCCTGTAATCCCAGCTACTTGGGAGGCTGAAGCAGGAGAATCACTTGAACCCAAGAGGTAGAGACTACAGTGAGCTAAGATCGTGCCACTACGCTCCTGCCTGGGTGACAGAGCGAGACACTGTCTAAAAAAAAAGGAGGGCCAGGGTTCAAGGCTTCTGCCTGCCATTTACCGGCATGGGTCCCTCAGGAAATGCCTCCTCCCGTCTGAGACTCAGTTCATTCCCCTATATGGTGGGAACAAGGGAACTCCCAGTTCACAAGCCCTTCAAGAGTCACAGCAATGATCTCAGATTGTGCCCTCAAATCAGCCTGTGCCTGCAGCCCGGGCCCATCCCAGACCCACCCAATAGAGTCTCCAGCGTAGGCTCCTCCATCTGTGGTTAGAGAGCCCCCAGGTGAATCCTGACACACATGCAACCATGACAGCCCTGTGTCACTTACCTTCTCTTATAGGAACCCCAGAACTATTGTGCAAATACAGTCATTTTCTTAGAAATCTAATCTAAAGTCCGAGTGAGGTGGCTCACACCTGTAATCCCAGCACTTTGGGAGGCTGAGGCAGGCGGATCATGAGGTCAGGAGATTGAGACCTTCCTGGCTTATACAGTGAAACCCTGTCTCTACTAGGAATACAGAAAATTAGACAGGCACGGTGGCAGGCGCCTGTAGACCCAGCTACTCGGGAGGCTGAGGCAGGAGAATGGCTTGAACCTGGGAGACAGAGGTTGTGGTGAGCCAAGATCTTGCCACTGCACTCCAGCCTGGGCAACAGAGCGAGATTCCGTTGTCCCCTCTCCCCGAAAAAAAGAAATCCAACCTAAAATGAGGGTGGTGGACATTTGCGTCCCCCTAAGATGCACGTGTTGAGCTTCATCCCCAGTACAGTGATGCTGGATGATGTTGGAGGGTAGGGCATCTGGGGGGTGATGAGGTCAGGAGTACTCCACCTTTTTTTTTTTTCTGAGTCTCCCTCTGCCACTCAGGCTGGAGTGCAGTGGCATGATCTCTGCTCACTGCAACCTCCGCCTCCCAGGTTCAAGTGATTCTCCTACCTCAGCCTCCTCAGTCGCTGTGTACCACCATGCCCAGCTAATTTTCGTATTTTTAGTAGAAATGGGGTTTCACCCATGTTGGCCAGGCTGCTCTTGAACTCCTGACCTCAAGTGATCCGCCCACCTCTGCCTCCCGAAGTGCATGAGCCAGCATGCCCAGCTAATTTTTGTATTTTTTTGTAGAGACAGGGTTTCGCCATGTTGGCCAGGCTGGTCTCAAACTATCGACCTCAAGTGATTGGCAGGAGGGCTTCATTTTCGTGAATGAGATGAGTGCCCTTGTAAAAACTTCAGGGAGCTTTTCTGCCCCTTCTGCGGCATGAGGATGCATAGAAGCCACCAGCCATGGGGAACAGGCCCTCCCTAGATGCTGAGTCTGCTGGATCCTTGATCTTGGACTCCCCAGCCTCCAACAGGGTGAGAAATTTACTTCTATGGTTTATAAATCACCCAGCTTCAAGTGTTCTGCAGGCGCAGGCTGAATGCACTGACAGGTGGTAATCATTAGCTCATGTTTTTGTTTTTATCTCTTTTGAAGGGCTTTTGAGGGATGGTTTGGATTCAGATCTCTTACAAATTTAATCCCAGAGCTTGAAAGCATGCCCACTTTTAAACTTCCAGCTTCTGTTGGCCCCTGATTTGGAGGCCGAGAACCGTGTGGTCCACGCCCCGTGATGCCGCCCACCCAGCCCCAAACACATCAGGTGCTGAACAACATCTGCCGGCTGTTCGAGGTCCCCCTTCCCATGCAGGTGGCCTGAGCACTGGTTACCGATGCCTCATAGCCTGTACATTCATTCATGTAGGCATTCACTCATTCATTCATGTATGCATTCACTCATTCATTTATGTATGCATTCATTCATTCATGTATGCACTCATTCATTCATGTATGCATTCACTCATTCATTCATGTATGCATTCACTCATTCATTCATGTATGCACTCATTCACTCATGTATGCATTCACTCATTCATTCATTCCACAAGTATTTACTGAATGCCCACTAGGCACCAGGGCCTAGAGCCTGGTAACTGGGGCCCAGCAGGGGCCTGTCCTTTGGCACTGACATGCAATGTGTTACGCAGTCACCTCACAGGCTTCTCCTCCCCATGATGTGATAAACGTGATAAATGGCGCACAGCACATCACGGACCACGTGATCCATCCATCTCCTCCCGCCCCAGCAGGTCCACTCCATGAGCTCAGGGACCGTGGTCTGATGGGCACGGTGTCCCAGCATCAGGCACAGTACCTGGCCCACAGTAGGTGTGCATTCCACATTTGTTAAAGTAATGCGTGAAGTGAATACACAATTAACTACTTCTCCTGGGATGGCAGCCTGGCAGGAGCAGAGCGGAGTGTATGAACAAGGGGGACAAGGGAACTCCCAGCTCACACACCCTTCGAGAGCCCTTCACCAGGCCAGTCTGGGGTCTTGTGACTTTCCCTAAAGAATGAGGTTGAAGCCGAAAGAGGAGGAGGCACTGACTTGATGCAGAGCCAGGCACAGCCCTGCAAAGGCCTTAGGCAGGCACTGGCTCTGCGCACTGGAGCTTGAGTGTGGTGGGCAGGCTGAGGCCACAGGGCTTGGGCTGGGGCTTCGGGAGCCTTGAAGGGATTTTGGCTCCAATCCTTAGAACAAGGGGAGCCACCAGAGGGTGCTCAGCCCAGTGATGATAAATTCGACCTGCCTTTTAAGAGTTCCCTGGGGCAGGTGCGGTGGCTCATGTCTATAATCCCAGCACTTTGGGAGACCAAGGTGGGCGGATCGTTTGAGGTCAGGAGTTTGAGACCAGCTGGCCAATATGGTGAGACTCCTGTTTCTACTAGAAATACAAAAATTAGCCAGGTGTGGTGGTGAACGCCTGTAATCCCATCTACTCTGGAGGCTGAGGCAGGAGAATCGCTTGAATCTGGGAGGCAGAGGTTGCAGTAAGCGGAGATCGCACCATTGCACTCCAGCCTGGGCAACTGAGTGAGACTCTGTCTCAAAAAAAAAAAACATAGCCGGGCTGTGTGCACCTTTGGAAAATGGACTAGGGAGGGCTGAAGAGCTGGGGAAGGAATCTCCATGATCAGTCAGTCCTGAAAGACCCCAGTTCTCCAAGCTCCTCTTGTAAGGGCTGGGGCTCTGGGCCCAGGACTCTGTGGTGCTGGGGTGGGATCTTGGAAGGAGGAAGGCATCCACGCCCACCTTCTGGGCTCAGCGTGGCTTGTTCAGGGAACGGTGTTTGGAGCTTTGAGGAGAAAAAAAGTTTAGGGCAAAGCTGTGTGGAGAGGAAGTAGGGAGTGTGTGCTGAGGGCAGGCAAACTCTTCCTGCTTAGGAGCTGGACCTAGGGCCACCCAGTGGCTTCCTGTGCTGGGACAGCGGCCTTGAGCAAGAGTCTCTGATGCCCTGTGGCCAGGATTAACTGTGCCAGGAGCCCGTGTGGGCACAAGCTCACACACCCCTTCCAATGCTCACACATGCACACAGACCCACACATACACACCAACGCATGCACACAGACACATGTACACACATGTGTGCATGCTCACACAAGGCAGCCCAGCGTGCCTCCCACACCGGCCAGCAGCCCTCACCTGCAGGTCCCTCAGCTTCTGCCTCTGGAAGGCGTCCACCATCTCCTCCAGCTGGAGGGCGGTGCGGCTGGAGTCCACGGCAGCCCTCTGCACATTGGTCTCCGCCTGGCCCCAGGGACATAGAGGTAGAAAGTGTCATGGGGGCACTTCTGGCCCGTAGCCACCTTTCTGAATCACTCTGTCTCTAAACCCTCTCTCAGTCCCACTCTCCTGCCTCATGGGACGTCTCTTGCCAATTTGGTCATCAAAGGAATGGCTGAGTAGGACCACGGCTGAAGGAGCAGTCACCGGAGAAAGACACGCCTGCCTGCTAGCTGTGCGACCTCAGGCAAGTCACTTAACCTTTCTGAGCCTCAGTTTCCTTTCTTGTAAACAGAGGACAGTGATAAGACTTGCTTGGAGGGCTGGTTGGAAAAATTAAACAGTGGCACCGCTGAGCCCTTAGGACTGGTGCTCCACGTTCACTGATCATTCATTCTTGCATGAGGAACATGTTTAGGTAATTCACTCTTTCGTTCCTTTGATCAACATCCGCAGATGCCTACTCCATGCCAAGCCCAGACGTGAACAGTCTGGCTTTCAGAATAGAACACCTTGGAGCTATGTTCAAAATTTGCCACTTAACTGCCTGTGTGACCTTGGGCACGTCACCATTCTCAGCTTCAGCTTCCTCTTTAAAATAGGGACTTAAATGCCACCTTCATGTTTGTGTAACTCCCAAGAAGGAAAGAGAGCTGGGGGCTGGCATCTAGGAAGCCCCCAGGAAAGAAGGGAAAGCTGTTGTCAAAGGGCTGCAAAGATGGTGGGTGACCCAGGCAGGAGCCAGGATGGAAGGGGGGCGCTCGGGCGGGGCTGTGACCCACCCTGCTGTAGGTCAGCACGAGTGTCCCGGGCACTGTGGGAGGTAGGGCAGCATCCCCGGCCTCTCCCCACTGGATGCCAGGTGGTAGGTGGGATAATGGACCTCCAAAGCCGTTGATATCCTAATCCCTGGCACCTGTCAATACGGCCCTTTTCAAGGCAAAGGGGCGTTGGGGTAGCAGGTGAATGAAGGTTGCTAATCAGCCATCCTTGCTGTGGGAGATGATCCTGGATTATCCGTTACAGCCAGTGCAATCACCGTCCTTACAAGTGGAAGAGGGAGGCAGGCAGGAGAGTCAGAGGTGAGACACGACTACAGAGGGAAGGTGCAGGCTGCCGGCCACGGCCAAGGGACGTGTGTGGCCTCTGGAAGCTGGAAAAGGTGAGGGCACAGACTCTCCCTGGACTTCCAGAAGGAACCAGCCCTTTCCACACCGTGATTTAGCCCAGAGGGCCCACGACGGACCTCCAGTCTCCTGAATGGTGAGTCTGTGGTCATTTGTCCCCACAGCGGGAAGAACCTAACATGTACCAGCAGAGCTCCCCAGTCGTGAACCAGAAACATCACCAGATGGTGAAATGTGCCCAGGTGAGGGGCATTCTCTGGTTGGGTGCAGTGGCTTAAGCCTGTCATTCCAGCCCTTTGGGAGACTGAGGTGGGCGGATTGCCTGAGGTCAGGAGTTTGAGACCAGCCTGGCCAACATGGTGAAACCCTGTTTCTGATAAAAATACAAAAATTAGCCAGTAATGGTGGTGGGTACTTGTAATCCCAGCTACTAGGGAGGCTGAGGTAGGAGAGTCTTTGAACCGGGAGGCAGAGGTTGCAGTGAGCCGAGACTGTGCCACTTCACTCCAGCCTGGGCGACAGAACAAGACTCTGTCTCTCAAAAAAAACGTGGGGGAGGCATGGCCAGGTGCAGTGGCTCACACCTGTAATCCCAGCACTTTGGGAGGTTGTGGAGGGCGGGTCACAAGGTCAAGAGATCCAGACCATCTTGGCCAATATGGTGAAACCCGAAACCCCATCTCTACTAAAAATATAAAAATTAGCTGGACATGGTGGTGGGTGCCTGTATCCCAGCTACTAGGGAGGCTGGAGCAGGAGAATCACTTGAACCTGGGAGGTGGAAGTTGCAGTGAGATGAGTTTGTGCCATTGCATTCCAGCCTGGTGACAGAGCAGGACTCCATCTCAAAAAAAAAGCAGGGAGAGGGCACTCTTTGGATGAGGTCACACACTGAGTGACACAAACAGCAGAGGTGACTAGCCTCCTCCAGCTCTCAGCCTACCTCCTGGCCCCTGCGTCTTTCCCATGGGGCAGGACAGTGTGACAGAGAGCATGCGGGGTCCCCTCCTCCTGCTGTGCCCCATGAACTCCCGTAACTGTGTCCCTGTGAGCCTGATTTCCTCCCGTAGACGATAGGGATGAGGGTAGCATCACCCACCTGATGTGAGCATTAAACAAGTAACTGGCAGCGAAACTCAGCCCGTGGGGGCGTGGCTTGTGGGATGGCGTCAATAATGGGACAGGGCCCAGGCCTCCAGATCCCCAGCGGCTCTTTTAACTGGTACCTTTGGCTTTCCCATCCTGAGCGCAGGGCCCTGCCCACACCTGCTTCTGCCCAGGGAAAGCCCACCTGAGGTCCTGATTCTGGATGCCCAGACAGACAGGTCACACTCACCTGGGACTGAAAAACGCGCTGTTAAGGAACCCAGTTAAGCCCAAACAGCCCCATTGGGGTGGTCTGCCGCCTCGAACCCCTGCCCAGAAAACCCCAGAGGACATCCGTGTGAGGGGACACCCTGCCCCGGCAGCCTCGGGCCCCACTTCCGGGGAAGGATATGATCATTTGCTGATCTGAGGGTGACTTCTGCCTCAGTTTCTCGAGGTTTTTCAGTTGTTTGATCTCATGATTTCGGACGTGTTTGAATTTCTTGATCTCAGCCTGCAGAAAAGGAGGAGGGCTCTTTCCCAGGAACCAGCAGGGCAAGATGGGGATGCCACCCACCTGAGGGGCCCCGGCTCACCCGCGTCCACTTGATCCGCGCCCCGTAGAGCTTCAGGGGGTTGACCACCTTGGCCTCCAGCCTCTCAACCTTGGGGGGGGCGGGGACACCAGGGGATTTGAGCAAAGAGTGCAGGGTGCTGCCTGCCTCCCGCCTGGGCATAGAAAGCACAGCCCACACCCGGGAGCCGCATGTCCAGAGCCGTGCGGGGGATGGGGAGCGTGAGATGCCGTCCCTTTCCCGGCGTGTTGGAGATACTGGCCTGGGCTCAGGGCCCGGCTCTGCCTCCCAAGGGCTCCGGCAACACATTCAATCTCTTGAAGCCTTGTTTCCTCACCTGTTCAACAAGGCCATGGGGGTACCCACTAGGGTTTCAGGACAGTAGGGAGATGGTGCCTGGCCCAGAACTCAGGGAGTGTCGTCACCAGGGAGGCAAGACATGTCCCCAGTGTGTGCTCAGTCCCTCTACGTGACAGCCTGGTCCTGTCTCCCAACTGCCACGCAGGGTGGCAATGACAACCCACTTTGCAGATGAGAAAACTGAGTCTTGCTTTGGGGACAAGATTTTGTTGAGAGTCACAGCAGGGCTGGGTGAGGCACTCTGGGAGGCTGAGGCAGGCAGATCACCTAAGGTCAGGAGTTGAAGACCAGCCTGGCCAACATGAAACCTCGTCTCTATAAAAAATAAAAAAAATTAGCTGGGCATGGTGGTGTGTGCCTGTGGTCCCAGCTATTCAGGAGGCTGAGGCAGGAGAATTGCTTGAACCCGGGAGGTGGAGGCTGCAGTGAGCAGAGATGGTGTCACATCATTCCAGCCTGGGTGACAGAGTGAGACTCCGTTTCAAAGAAAAACAGGAAAACAAAAACAAAACCGAAAAAACTAAAGCAGCCTCTTGTCAGTCTTACAATCGAGAATGGCTTTGTGAGGGCCAGGAGACATGCCCGTGAACGCGTAGACACCAAGGAAGACGGCGCCCTGCCTCCTGGCGCCCTGGTCCTCCTCTGGTCTCCGTGGGAGTTTAGCGTAGGCGCCTGGCACCAAGCTCTGCCGCCTGTTTGTCACAGATCCATGAGAAGTTTTGTTTTTCCTTTGGTTAAAGGTAATTAGGTAGGCCAGGCATGGTGGCTCACGCCTGTAATTCCAACATTTTGGGAGGCCGAGGTGGGAGGATGGCTTGAGCCCGGGAGTTGAAGAGCAACCTGGGCAACATGGCAAAACCCCGTCTCTCTTTTTTTTTTTTTTTTTTTGAGATGGAGTCTCGCTCTGTCACCAGGCTAGAATGCAGTGCCACGATCTCCGCTCACTGCAACATCCACCTCCCAGGTTCAAGTGATTCTCCTGCCTCAGCCTCCCAAGTAGCCGGGACTACAGGCACGTGCCACCACACCCAGCTAATTTTAGTATTTTTAGTAGAGATGGGGTTTCACTTTGTTAGCCAGGATGGTCTCGATCTCCTGACCTTGTGATCCACCTGCCTCGGCCTCCCAAAATGCTGGGATTACAGGCATGAGCCACCTCACCCAGCCCAGTCTCTTTAAAAAAAATTTTTTAATAAAAAAACAGAGATAATTAGCTAGCATAGGTGGCCACCCCCGTTACCAGGTGAGATTAGGATGTACTGGTGAGGAATGGGGCTGCCAAGGCTTCTTCCTGGGGGGCAGTTGTCATTTGTCTTGAGAACATGGATGCCGTGTGCTGTGTCTGCCTGCCTGGAGAGGAAGGAGCCGTCTCTGTCTATGCAATCTCTTTCTTGGGTTGCCCATGACATGCGTTGCTATCTGGTTTAAAGCGTACTCAATTGTAAATGTGTTCCATTCTTTGTTTTTTGGTATGAGACAGAGTCTCCTACTGTCTCCCAGGCTGGAATGCAGTGGCACGATCCTGGCTCCAGCCTTGACCTCCCAGGCTCAAATGATCCTCCTATCTCAGCCTCCTGAGTAGCTGGGACCACAGGTGCAAGCTACCACACCCGGCTAACTTTTGTATACTTTTGTAGACATGGGGTCTTGCTATGTTGCTCAGGCTGGTCTTGAACTCCTGGGCTCAGGCAGTCTGCCTGCCTAGGTCTCCCAGAGTGCTGGGATCATAGGTCTGAGCCGCTGCACCCAACCCTTTTCCATTCTTTTCTACGATTCATGGAGGATGTCTCTGGGCTGATAGGAGTTTCTATTTTTAATTATTTCCTGAACACCCTGCAGCCCCTTCGCCTCTGACTCCCCTTTCTGTCCCTTCTGGAGGCCCTCACAGGCTGGATGCGTCTCCTTCAGGGGCTGGTGGAGCCCCAGCGCCGGCCTCCTGGGTTTCCTTGGGTGGTTGATTCTTCATCTGACTCAGAAAGGCCTCCCAGGCTGTCACTCCTGCAGACAGAGGTGTGACCCTAGGCAGCGTGTAACTGTCCACCCTCGGAGGGTGTCTTTGGAGACTCACCCGTCGGCTGTGGCCACAGCAGGGCTCCTGCTGCCCTCAGGCCTGAACTTGGTGCCCCTCAGCATCCCAGCCCCAGGCCGACCATGCTCACCTGGGCCTGCCGGTAATCCTGCACCTTGGCCAGGTCCTCGGCGAAGTCCCTCATGGTGGCGCGCAGCTCAGGGTTCTCGGAGTTGGCGAAGTCGATGAGCTGCTTGACCAGCTGGTCCGCCTCGTCCCGCAGCCGGGCGGTCTTCCGCGTGTAGGCAGCCAGCAGCGAGCATAACTGCCCGAAGTACTTCTCGGCATTGGCCACAGTGTTCTCCATCACCCTCACCTGGCTGTCCCTGCGGACACGGGGACCTGAGTGGCCGTTCCGGGCAGCGAGGCAAGGCCTGGGTCGTGCCAGGAGCAGACAATGGTTATGAATACAGGAGCTGCCGCCAGCTGGCCTCCGGTGTGGCACGCACACGCCTCAGGCTATTGCTCAAGGTGGCAGCGTCAGGGCCATCGAGGCTGAGGAGGGGGATGTGCCTGGGCCGGTCAGCGGTGCGCAGGGACACAAATGCGTGCTTGGCTCCAAACCTGGCCTTTTTCCTCCCTGTGATGCCGAAGGGGCCTCTGTCTTCCTGGAAGCGTTACTCCATGCCACAGTCCCTGGCTGCAAAGGCCTCTGCCCTCTGAAATTTCCCCGTGCTGTCTTTCTCCATAAGCTGTCAAAATACTTTTATATATATGTATAAATTTTTGAGACAGAGTCTTGCTCTGTCGCCCAGGCAGGAGGGCAGTGGTGTGATCTCAGCTCACTGCAACCTCTGCCTCCCGGGTTCGAGTGATTCTCCTACCTCAGCCTCCCGAGTAGCTGGGATTACAGGCACCCGCCATCACGCCTGCCTAATTGTTGTACTTTTAGGAGAGACAGGGTTTCTCCATGTTGGCCAGGCTGGTCTCGAACTCCTGACCTCAGGTGATCTGCCCGCCTTGGCCTCCCAAAGTGCTGGGTTGACAGGCGTGAGCCACTGTGCCCTGCCCTGACTCACCTTTATGTGCTCCCAGCCCGGCGCCTCCCCAGAGCAGGTGAGCGATGACTGAGCCACCGCATTCGGGCTTCTAAGACAGCCATGGAGGCCTGGCCCCTGCCTCCCTCCTGGGCGCTCTCATGCCCTCTCCTTTCCCTTATCCCCAGCATGTCACTGTCTCTGCCTCTCTCCCTTTGACCAAAGCCCCCGTGCAACCCTCTCATCAAATCCCTGATGCAAGAAATGCCCTGAGGAGCAGCCGTCTGTCCCAACAGACCCGAACTCTCTCGCGACCCTCATTGCAAAAACACTCTGCATGCATCGCCCTATAAGCAAGGTATTGCTGGTATCACCATGTGAACATGGAGTGAACTGAGGCCCAGAGAGGTAAAGCATCTTGCTGCAGGTCACACAGCCAGACACGGCCTCTGTTCCCGCAGGCGGGGTCCTTAGAGCTTCTGACTCGGCAGCACAGGGGACAGAAGTCAGACATTGGGGCTCCCAGGAGTGGGCACCAGAATCCCTGGGAGTGTGCCTGAGAAGCTGTGTTTTAAAAACATCAGGGCTGGGCACAGTGGTTCACACATGTAATCGCAGCACTGTCGGAGGCCGAGGTGTGCGGATCGCCTGAGCTCGGGGGTTCAAGACCACCCTGGGCAACATGGCGAAACCTCGTCCTACTAAAATACAAAAAACTAGCCAAGCATGGTGGCGCACCTGTAGTCCCAGCTACTCAGGAGCCTGAGGCAGGAGAATGGCTTGAGCCTGGGAGGTGGAGGTTGCAGTGGGCCGAGATCCGGATTGCACCACTGCACTCCAGCCTGGGCCATAGAGTCGGACTTCATCTCAGAAAAAATAAGAAAAACACATCGGGTGCTTGAGAGGTTCCCTGGATTTCGAACCTTGGAGGAACCAGGCGTGGATCTGACCAGGGCAGGGCAGGGCAGGCAGGTGGTGAGAGCAGGGAAGGGCTGGGCCGGGCAGTGTGGACGGGGCCTCTGTGAAGGGGAGGCGTGGCTGGGGTTGAGGTGCAAAGGGGGTTTTCCAGGTGGAGGCAAGAGGAAGGAGATGAATTCGGCAAGCCCAGAGCCACAGACAGTAATGCTGAGAAGCAGATGGAGGCCAGATTCTGGAAGCTTCTGTGGTCCCAAGCCCTGTCTGCCCTGAGCTGGAGGTACAGGCGGTGTGGGAGGAGAGCTCCCCTTACTCTCCCCTGACCAGCAGGCTCTGCTGCCCTCATCTTTCTTGGTGCCCTGGGCCTCAAAACCCTGCCTCCACCTCCCTGGCAGCCAGGTGGTGCCGGCGCCCTCACCTGGAGAAGACGATGTTCATTGTGACCAGAGCTGCGGCTGTCCTGCTGGTGGGGAGTAAGGACAGGGCCTCAGGGGTCCTGCGGGCCTGGGAGGAGCCGGGCAGGGCTGGGCGCAGCTATGCGGCCTGGGCTCAAGGGACGCTGCCACCTGGTTGCCAGGCGACGGGGCCGCCCACAGCAGGCCCTGGGAGGAGCTGGTCGCCCGGCAATGCCTCCCTGAGCCTGGCCTCCCCAGCCTTGCACTGGCTCAGGGGCTACGCAGAGAAGAGGGCATCCCACAGAGGCCTGCGCTCTGCCTTTGAAGACGGGGGCTCTTGTGGAACGTGGCAGTGGTTGGGGCTCCCCGGGAGGCAGCAGGGAGAGGGCAGCTTGCCAGGGGCTCAGGTCTGCACGAAGCCATGTGTGTGGGTCCCACCCACCAGGCTCCTTCCTCCTTGCAGGGAGGCTGCCACCACGGGCCTTCCCAGGGTCTAGGTTCAGGTGGATGTGTCGCGGGAAAGCTCAGGTGGGGCTGTGCCAACACACAGAGGAAACTCGGGGGTCCTGAGGGTGGGGCAAGGATCCAGCTCAAAGGAGCGTGTGTTTTTTTTGTTTGTTTGTTTGTTTGTTTTTGAGATGGAGTCTTGCTCTGTCGCCCAGGCTGGAGTGCAGTGGCATGATTTTGGCTCAGCCTCCACTTCCCAGGTTGAAGGGACTCTCCTGCCTCAGCCTCCCGAGTAGCTGGGACTACAGGTGCCTGCCACCATGCCCAGCTAATTTGTGTATTTTTAGTAGAGACGGGGTTTCACCATGTTGATCAGGCTGGTCTCGAACTCCTGACCTCATGATCCACCCACCTTGGCCTCCCAAAGTGCTGGGATTACAGGCGTGAGCCACCGCCCCTGGCCGGAACGTCGTTAGTATTTTCATCGTAATTGCATTGTTTTTTCCTTATTATAGAGGCTCTCTGTTCACCGTTAGTGAGGTAAGACAGTTACAATACCACAGAAAGAAAAGATAAACCCACATGTCTAATTTTACTAGCTCAAGTCCAATACATTCCACTGATAGTGAGATTTGTGAATCTCAATGTATAGACACTTTACTTTCAGAAAAGAAACATAAAAAGAACGGTAAGGAACGCGGGTGGGAGGTGGCAGAGGAAGCGGGGATGGCGGTGCTGGTGGCTTGCACAGGGCTTGCTCTGCTGCTCTGTTGCTTTGTATGTGTGGAAGTTTTCATGGAAAGGGGCTTCTTTTAAAGCATGTATAAAAGCAAGGACTTTAGGGTCAGTTAAACACAGGTTCAAACCCCAGAGCCTGATCTGCTATGTGACCTTTCTGGGCTTCAGTCCCCTCCCCTGCAGATCTGTTATGGGATCATAACAGTACTTAATTAGGAGAAGAAAGTCCCTGGCGTGGGGGTGAAGGGACACAGGGGCTGGGGCTGAGACCTGGAACTCATTGAAATTCCCGGCGCACAGGCCTGGGCTGGTGGGGGCTTCCCTCTGCGGCAGATCCCCAGGTGTTCACTGGGCTGCATCGGTGACTGGCACCTCCCCACACTCTCTCCATCGTCCCTCTGCAGACGCCCTGCCTGTGTTTCCCTGCAGACCCTGAACAATGTATGGACCACCCCAGCTCCGTCCCTGCTGGGTCCCCATTCTCTGTCTGGGCATGAACATCCCCAACCTCCCACGGGGTGGCTCTAAGTAGCTCCCGGGGTTCTACGGCCACCGTGGCTTCTCCCTTTCTGTGCCAGGCTGTTGGGTGGAGATCCCCTGTCCCCTTTACGCCGTGCAGCTGTCACTGGGCCCCGGACAAGTCTGTCTCCTGCTCTCTGCTTCCTTCCCTCTTGGGGAAGACTATCCCCCCAAAATGCATGTCCTCCTGGGGACCTCAGAGTGTGGCCTTACATGGAAACAGGGTCATTGCAGGTGTGATCAGCTGAGTCACACCAGAGGAGGGTGGCTGATCCCACCACAGGGGTCATCATGAGAAGAGGAGATAGAAACACATCAGGGGAGATGGCCACATGGCCCCGGGGCAGGGACAGGAGCCATGCAGTGTGAGCCAGGAGCACGGGGAGCGGCCAGGGGCAGGAGGGAGCCTCGGAGCCTCTGGAGGAGTGCAGCCCCCTAGGACCTTGACTTCAGACTCTGGCCCCAGAACTGGGAGAGAAGAAACTTCTGTGGTTTTAAGCCCCCAGTTTGGGGTAATTTTGATACGCGAGCCTCAGGACAGGCACACAGGCTCGGAAGAGAGCAAACCATCCCCTGGTCCCCACAGGGTCTCTCTGGGGCCCCTGACCTCACTCTGGCCCTCTCCCTTCCTCCAACACCCTGTCACCTCCCCCCAAGTCCTCCTCACATGAATGCTTTCCTCTGCTGGCGTTTTGGGTTGTCTGTCATAAGGGATGCAGTTTTGTTTGCGTTTTTTTCTGTTTGTTTTTGGAGACGGAGTTTCACTCGTCTTGCCCGGGCTGGAGTGCAGTGGTGAGATCTCCTCTCATTGCAACATCCGCCTCCCAGGTTCCAGCGATCCTCCTGCCTCAGCCTCCCAAGTAGCTGAGATTGCAGGCGCGCACCACCATGCCTAGCTAATTGTGGTATTTTTAGACACAAGGTTTCACCATGTTGGACAGGCTGGTCTCAAACTCCTGGCATCAGGTGATCCACCCACCTCAGCCCCCAAAGTACTGGGATTACAGGCATGAGCCACTGCACCCGGCCCCTTTAAGGGAGGTGTTTCAACTTCCCAAGGAACAGCCAGGTCCTGGAGAGAGTTTTGGATTATCCCCTCGGTGAATTAATTCCTTCATGCACCAGCCTCCTGGAGTGTCTTCTCTGTGTCCTGTGGGCCAGTCCTTTAGGTAAATCCACATCCGACTGGTTCTGCGTCTTTGCAGAACCCAACTTGTCTAGGGCAGGAGAGAACACCAAATCTCTATCGGCTGTCAGCCCTCCAGGTGGCCCGGTCTGCGCTACTGCCGATGGCCACGGGAGGGCAGCAGAGACCTGCCTGGTGGAGAATTCCTTGCCTCAGAGGTCAAGCGGGCTGGGTGGCCCCGGAGAAACCAGAGAAGCTCATTTGAGAAAAAGCCACCTTAACACGGGGTGCAC